CTCGGGGACTGCGCCTACCTAATGAGCTCCAAGAAGGGCAAAACCGGTGGTGGGCTGTCCAAGAGTTTTCAGCAACCTTGTGAGTAGTTTCCTTCATGAAAATGTCACTAATCCCTCCATCTGGTTGGGTGCTACTTTTCATTTCTAATCTTGCTGAGTCCAAACAGGCATCGTGTATAATGGTTTTCCAGGAAGCCCATTCGATTGACTCACAAAGCTAAGCCAAGAATTGTGAAGTCTTGAGGCTCATGTCTAAGTTGTGGTATCTGGGTTATGAAAGTACATGTATAAAACTGTTGGCGCTAAATGCAACCGAATCGATCGTTTTCGGACTGTTGAATCCTGATCTGTGTGTTCAAAAGTGACTGGCCACCGTTCGGCCAACCACTCATCATCTGACGCTTATTCACTCTTTCAGGCATCTGTTTATGAGCTCCCCGCTTCTGCATCCTGTATTTGTTGGGTTTGTTCATTATGAATATTCGTTCACAAATGTGAAAGCCAGCTGATAACTGCCGAAGCCACATGTGTACTGGGCGTTCCAATAACAGATACAAACCATTTATAGGCGTCATGTACTACTCATAAGGTTGCAGATGTAGGTGCAGTCCCCGGGTTTCCGTCTCCCCTGTGTTCTTTTTGAACAAAATTCGCACAAGACTGAGCTCATTCGCTCATCTGCCTACGAATCCGGTTCTGACGGGTGAATTCCCTGGAACCCAACTGACTCTCCCTTTTATGCTGTTTTTAAGCAACTGACTGTGCCCGGTAAACGAGATACCGCAATACATCGTATGGACATGACGCACCACTCTTTGGGTTGATGGAAACCCTTCGACATCCACAACCGGTTTTGCTCTACTTGGAGTTCGTCACATAGGTCCAGTCTCCGAGTCTCCATAAAACCAATTACAATCGTTTGGATACCAATTTGGTTTCTGTGGAAGACCCATCTTAGAATCTGATTTTCAACCCACGACGCCCATTCTTTATCGCCATTACCAGCGGGAATTCGCATCCGACAACAGTACTTGAAAAACCTAAACATTCATAGCGGCAAACATCCAACATATCAACGTCTTGCTACGCATTGGTTTTCTTTGTTTTGTCAACATAAGCACAAATTGTACGCCACCACTACGCCACGATGTTTTGCGTCAACCGTTGCGTCAACAAGGCGCGGTACGTTCGAAATTGGTTTCCCTCGTGCAAATTCGTGAAAATGTTTTTTGTCAACACACAAATTGTACGCCACCACTACGCCACGATGTTTTGCGTCAACCGTTGCGTCAACAAGGCGCGGTACGTTCGAAATTGGTTGGTCTCGTGCAAATTCGTGAAAATGTTTTTCGTTTTTCAATCTATTCACATAGTACACACGAGTAATTGTTGAGATTTATTATTCTAACAAAACATTTGAGTGATAACCCTTTATATTTTGCGCACACCTATTTTACATCTAGTCCGAAACATGACGTCAATTCATACGGATCGCCCTCCGCAGCCATTGGTAGACCACAATAGATGTGGGCGGAATGGCTGCCCGTCGAACGTCAAACGCGGTTTGCAAGGCCACGCCTGGAAGGCCTGGTGGCATTTCAAATGCACGGGTTTACAGGACGACCAGATAAGCCGACCAACCAACTCTCCTGCCCCGTTAGTCTTTGCCAGCTGCCTCTACGTCAAGGATGCAATGCATACCGCAGCGAAGACAAGAGTCCCTCGAAACGGTACCCACTCCCCAGTGCAGATGCCGAAAGACCACTGCCACTGTTCCGCTTTAATCGGGATACTCGACGCGAAATTAGAGCGTCTTTCGAAGGCATTGGAGGACTCAGGCGCTAAGAATGCAGCGACCTGGGCAAAAGTCGACAAGGAACATTCCTCGCTGAACCAATACCTCCTGATGTC